TCTTGTGGTATAGCGTGAATCACTGCGCCGTAGCGTAGCATGAATACGTTTATAAATTGCAGATCTACCTGGACGGTCCGTACGGTGGAGGCCACCAGGACTGGTTCCGCTTCGAGGTGTCCGTGCTCGTGGGTGGAGGCATCGGAGTCACCCCGTTCGCCTCTATCCTTAAGGACATCGCGCAGCGGGCTTCCAGTCGGGGAGGAGGTCGCGTCGCGTGCAATAAGGTCTACTTCATCTGGGTCACCCGCACCCAGAAACACTTCGAGTGGATGACCGACATCATCCGCCAGGTCGAAGAGCGAGACGCCAAGGGCCTCGTGAGCGTGCATATCTTCATCACGCAGTTCTACCACAAGTTCGACCTAAGGACCACCATGCTGGTAAGCCACCGACGCGTTGATTAAGGTAAGCGAGAAATGTGTGACGGTAAAGTGTGCTGCTGCTTAAGGCTAGTGATGGGGGCAATGCAGTGACCCTGCCCATTCGAAACTTCATTTTCATTTCATTTCACTTTATCTTCAATTCCAAAATGATAGATCAAAAAGCCGTTTGGACCCATAGCCAAAGGCTAGAATAGGGTCCAATGATGCGGTACATAATGGCACAGTATCCAAACGATAGCACAAGGCAACAATAGCACATGTAGCAAAACAATAAAACAAGGCATTGAACCAGGATACAAGGTGCTAAACATTGCGGATATAGCAAAGAAGGTTAGGCATTGTACAGACATATATATTCAGATACTCTAACTTGGGTAAGATAACAGAAACATGTAATTTTTATACACAAACAAAAGAAAGGCAATGAGTAATAACAACTACGCAGTAAACTTTCACTAGACGTAGTGGTACTTACATACAAGGATTGAACGATTTTGTTACTATTAAGGGGGTTACAGAGACACATTAAGGATTGCAAGAATTCACAGCGTGGGTCACGCTGTGAATCCTTCCACTACGAAAATAACTCCAAGTGTTCATCGTTTTGCGTGGGGATGGGAAGCAGTGACATTCAAGGAAGGATCTTGTTTCGTACATAGTAAGAACAGCTCGAAATACTAGGACAAAGCAGGTTCAGAAGCCGCTCCACATGACGACTTTTGTTAATCAACGAAGAAAAAAACGCTGTGAGTTACCAGAGAGCATGTGAAACGAAGTGTTATGAGTGTAAGTCACTTTGTGCTGTCATTAATATTATGCCATACTTATAGGAAATATCTGTGCTTGGTGTAGGTTACTATAAATAACAATGCTACTGAATCCGTAAACATAACAAAATGACCACAACGACAATTCTGGTTCTGCTACTGAGTTCAGCAGCAAAGCCATAGTTTTTTTTATCGGGAGAGCTGGGCTTTCATCCATACTTTATGCATGTTCGTGCGTGCGTTTGTATGCGAGTCTGTATACACGCCTACGCAAAAGTCAAAATTTTCGGGAAGAAAGAGAGTCAAGCCCTTTAAGCCCCCACCCTCCTTGCTCAAATGCTACACCATGGACAACCCGTTGCCTTTCAGTGCAATTGAGTGCTGTACAGCAAAAGCAGACTTTCCTCCCCCCCCCCCTCCCGCCACCTCGAGATGGCCGCCCCTGCACTCTCGTTCACCCCTGGCTGATGTTATGACGACGGCCGCTCCTCCTGTTATGCCGGCGATGTTCTGACTGCTTTCATTCCTTTACCTCTGTTCTCCCCTGTTTTCTCCATTCTCTTCTCCTCAAGGCCGTGCTCCCTATTAGGCTGCATAAATAAGTGCCTTTTTTTTCCTTTTAAAGCGAAAGCTGTTATCAGATCACAACTGTAGTAGTACTTGTCCACCAACTTATCACATACACTGAAACATCTGAAGTCCGAGATATATTGCGCGTACTTTCGTCGAGTCGATCGAAACGCAATATGAACGGATCGGCAGTACCGCGAACATCGGCAAAAAAAGCAACCCAAAACATTGATTTATGCCTACGCCTTTTCTTTTTTCATCCCTTTTTAGTACATTTGCGAGCGCCACTTCCAGAGGATATCCAACCGGAGTCTGTTCACCGGTTTGAGGGCAATCACCCACTTCGGGCGACCGGACTTCTCTGGCTTCCTAGACTCGCTACAGGTGGAGCACCCTGCGGTGAGTCCACGAAGTGAACGCTCCCCCTCGTGTGGCAGCGTCCAGCACTATTATACACATTCGTGCAGCACGGGTAAACAATAAGCACTATAATGCATCGCTTGTTAATTTTGACACCTCATAGTTCTTTGACGTGCCATCCATACGCAATGCTCGATATAACCTAAGATAGATGGCGCGCGGCCGGGAATTCAATTCTCCTGCCCGTATGGTAGCAGCTGCCTCAGGGCCACTACATCGGATGAAAAATTGTAAAATGAGCGCGCTTCAAACTTATGACTGGTCGTGCAACTCTCTCTAACATGAACACACGAAAAGACGTTTATTCGTCTCTCTTCTTTTGATCGTGTGACATCATTCTCCCCAGGCACGAAGTCGCTCCAAATTGTCCTACTTTCAGTCACTCTGCAAATAGCACTGCAATTCATCTACCTCATTGGAATAAACACCGTTCTTACATCGACTACAAAAACCATAAATGAACGATAACATACCTTGCACGTGAACGTCAAAAATCTGACAGTGGTCTGTCTCGGGAGAACCAAGGTAACTGGAAGCCTCGGCCATACCTGCATGAAGTACACGAATGAGTATGAGCAAGGTTAGATGCAAACTTCGTACCGCCAGTCATGAACGTGCCGGAATGTAAAAAACACACAAACGCTTAAACGAAAAAACAGGAACACTCTCTCCATCTTTCTCTGTGCAGGTTTCTAGGTTCGGCGTGTTCAGCTGCGGCCCGTTCCCCATGACCCGCAGCGTCCAGGCAGCGTGCGACGAGTTGAACCGAAAAGAAGGCGCCCTTTTTGACCACCACTACGAGAACTTCTGAGCCACCACCGCTGGGTACTTGTGCGCCCCAGCGCACAACGCGTTTTTCAACGGCGCACACACCGCGATAAAATGTTTGTGCAAAACCAAACAAAACAAAAATACATTTCAGTCATTCGTAACAAATTGCTGTGGTTTGCTTCAAGTATTCTTAGGAATAAAATTTAACTTGACTGTAATTGAATTTATGTTCAGAATGTAAGTTCTGGACAACAGACGTATTGCACTGTTCCTACTTGTATGGTTCTCGAACCAATATCAACCGCTATTTCTGTCACGCCAACACTAATAAGGAATGTGTACGCTAATGAACAGCTATCGATGCGACTTGAATATTTGCATGTAAGCTTGAAAGGCGATCTAGTATTGTTTTGAAACTAACCATCATCATTTTTTTTCTTGTAGTCTTGTCAATGCCACATCGCGCCATTGGCCATGTTGATTCGTCATATATGTGCGATATTATATACTGGTTAGACACATGTTAGGGAGGGAGGCTCTGTTTTATTTAAATTAAGTTTTGTGGCTTTTTTTAACATTCAGCACTGGAAAAAACCCGAAAACCACCTTTGCAGATAACCTATATATCCAGGGGCCAGAAAGCAATACATTAATTATCGCTCAGTTTTACCATTCGATAGGGCTTAATAATTAGCTCTTTAGCGACTGCAAAAAGCGGGCACGTTTGTATTGAAAGTTGCGACAGTCGTGTTTATGCACTCTTTACAAGTTTAGACAAGTTTCAGTTGACATGGTTACGCATGCAAGGCAGTCAGCACAGGCTCAAAACGCCTCGCCAATGTGTTATGGCAGCCCCGACATGGTGGTCTAGTCGCTAAGGTACTCGGCTGCTGACCCGCAGGTCGCGGGTTCGAATCCCGGCTGCGGCGGCTGCATTTTCGATGGAGGCGGAAATGTTGTAGGCCCGTGTGCTCAGATTTGGGTGCACGTTAAAGAACCCGAGGTGGTCGAAATTTCCGGAGCCCACCACTACGGCGTCTCTCATAATGATATGGTGGTTTTGGGACGTTAAACCCCACAAATTGATCAACATCTATAACTGCAAGCAGCTATAGGTTGATCACACATGTGACACAGCAACCTGATACGGAAAGCACCGAGATGTCACCGTATACATTGCACCATTTGCTATCGCCCTTGGTTGCTAAGCAGCCGAGTGCATGGTGCGTGACCAGGACAAGGCGTTGATGTAATGTATTGCCGCTTTCGTTATTGGCATGTGATCGATGACCACCCAGAGGAGTAGGCACAGATTTATTCAGTGGGGGCAGGCCCGTAATCTGAAGTGGGGACAGCGGCAAGGCGAGTGTGGTCAAGCGCCAGGTCGAGCACTCCATGTCCAGCGGCCGGGGCACGTGCCTGATGAGTGAGTGAGTGAATAAACTATTATAGGGTCCTGCAAAACGCGACAAAAAGCACACCTGGCTAACCCCACGACGTGCTTGGTACGCCACCCCCTTGATGCGCCCCTGCGAACATCCCATTGCTGGTTGCAGTTGTAAATATGTCATGTTGCTTCAATGGAGCTCGGTTGAAAGCCGAGCGCCTATCCTCAGTGTCTTTCGTTCGCATATCCGTTTCTTAAGCATTCCTTTGTTCCGTATAAATATTTTAGCACACGAAGAATTCGCCCTATAGAGTTGGATTACAACCCGCGACTAAAGCCTTTTATGTGCGATAGGTTTTTTCATTCAGCTGACCAGGGCACTTGCATTTGACAGCGTTAGAGTTAATTAATCGACAAAGGGGAACACACAGGCACTCAATATGGCAAACAAATTCTCGAAGGAACGTTTTATCAAAGTTACGCGTACGAAACTGCGGCACATCGAGGGAGACTCCGGACGTCATAGCTGGAGGCCGTCGCGTCACACTGATTCACGAGTTGCCTCAAGCCCTATCTTTTTTTATTGTTTAATATTTTTTTAACCTACAGATAGAGCGCGAACAAGTCGTGCGCAAAACGCACGAAAAACTAAACAGAATGACTGCTGGAAGACGCGTGTGATAAGCGACGCCCCCTATACCTCGAACGGGCGCGATAGGGGAAGTGTCGGCGAGATAAGGCCCGTCGTTGGGGGAACGCCTCGCGAAGGAAACGAAGCGCTGTTCGGCACGAAGCCGGGAGTCTAAATTCCAGCCAATAACCAAGCACAACTTGTCGGAGAAGTGTAGCTAGGCAGGAGTATTGAAACCACCGTGTCCGCCATTCCTAAAGCCTATAGGCGTCGCACAGCCACCTCCGCTTAAGCACATCAGGTAAGTTTCGTCCACAGCGTTCGTATTTGTTTATGTTATATATATAGCTTGCGCAAACATTATGACAAGTGTGTGCGTAGAAACTAGACGCTCAAGCAGGCGTTGCCTGTGTCGGACGGCAGCTTCAGAGCAGTTGATTTTACGGATTGTGTCTATTGTGACGCCTCATGCGCCTTTGCTGCCATGGTGTTTGCAACATGTCGAGAGTTTCCCATCGACCAACGTCCGGCTATTCAATCAGTAAATCCGACACTGAAGTTAATGATTCCGGTATTTTATGACTCAGTATTACTTTCAGCATATTTAACATGCCGTTTGGTTACTCTGCGCAAGTTGTCGAGGTGTTGCTAATTGCACAGTGTAATCAGCGAATGGAAATCGTAGTCATGCTAATACTCGGGGTTGCTAATCTATTGGGACGACCAACCAAATACGCAAAAGACGCGAACGCAGAAGAGGACGAGTATAGCGCTGTCTGATGACGTTTAGCGGTAGCATACCGTTCCTTGTTTCGTTCCTTTGTGCCAGCTGCCTTAAACAGGCGTTCTCAGCGCCTCCCACACGTACAGCACACTGCAGGGCGGTTCATGCGGTGCCCGTCTGCTGACCCAAAGGTCGCAGGTTCGATTGCTGCCGCGACGGTTTCATTTCGATGGAAGCGAAACGGTACTGTGCGATGTTAGTGCGCGTCTAAGAACACCAGGTGGTAAAAACTACCGGAGTCCTCCCAAGCCGGTGGTGAACTTTGCAAGACGAGTCACATCAGGAGGATCAACCAAAAACAACTAATGCAGAAAAGGCGGCCATCGTCTTGGTCATAACCAACATCGCCAAAATACACACAACCAGTGATTCTACAATTCCTATTCGCAATAATACTAAAGGGCGCATTTGCCGCAATAGCTGACGAAATTCCGAAACAGAACACTGAACATAGCATTGTTCATATTATTTAGACACCAGTCCGCTTTCCACTCCCGAGTAATGAGGCCACCCACAATAAGGCTCAAGCTTTCGCCGGCCAAGCTCACGGTCTAACTCAAATGGGCACGGGGAATGAGTTAGACAAAATGAGGCGGTTGACACACGAGCATATGTTGATGAATCGCGAAATTACGCGATATATAATATGCATTGGCCAGGCTTCATTATCCCACGAATCTCTAACTAAACGGCAGGAGCTCACGTGGAGGCAATTGACTCCAGACAACCCGTTAACACGAGTTATGTACTGTTGCCTCTATCCCCCCCACATTTGCTTCGGTGTAACCGTGTGCCGATCCACACGTATATACTTTGGGGCTTTCCGAGTATACGTGAGCGTCCTAGACTGTACAGGGCTTGCAAAGTACTGCGATGCAGTACTGGGAGCTCCGACTCCGAGAGCAGGTCACGGAGCGGCCAGAGTCCGGCGCCAAGCTGCTGGGGCTCCTGGCCGACAAACCGTCATCGCCTCCCGAAAGCGAGAAAACCATTTTGTTTGGTTTTTAATGAAGGTTTTGTCCTCCTCTTGTATTAGGGCGTCTCTTGTAATGATATTATTATTATTATTATTATTATTATTATTATTATTATTATTATTATTATTATTATTATTATTATTATTATTATTATTATTATTATTATTATTATTATTATTATTATTACACTGCTGTTAAGCCAAGTTATGCGTGGTCCGCAGAATTTCGTCCCTGTGAGGATTGCAGCTACAACAGTAAAAGTTCAAAACAAAAAGCGTAGGCCTCAACAAATACCGAATTGTTCAAAGCGAGGCTCTGATTCGTGTAATAATTTGTCGACGATCTTTATGTATATTGAGTGGCTTCGTTTTCAACAATATGCTCCTTTAGCCTACTGTTAGTGGCACATTGCAATTTTTTATGCGTACGCAGACTGCGCAAGTATGTACGTGTTGTAAATTGTTCACTTAACAGGCCACAACATGCACTTTAATCTGGGACAGGACAATGGGCGAGATTATCTTGTGCATCCAGAAGACAGACTACTTTAACGTTTTAAGTAATCGGGGAATATTTTTTTATCGCATCAATATATGCGCGATTATTTGAGGGAACTGAATGGCATTCGTTCTGTGCATAGTGATTGCAGCTCAGATCGCAGTGGGGCTCAGTTAGATATTTTTGCTCGTGATCTGTTGTCTTGCGTTGCACTAAATGAGGGTAAAATCAAACAAAAACGTGCATCTGCAGACAAGCGTTTCTTCTTTTATTTTTCATAGGCACTCTCACTTTTGCCGACTGACGTAGCCCGGCTAATTTAGTGCAGAAAAAAAATAAAGACAACGAAAAATAACACTACAGCGGAGAGAAACTCCCAGACTTATAGTGGCTAAGATACTCGGCTGCTGACCCGCAGGTCGTGGGATCGAATCTCGAGCGGCGGCTGCATTTCCGATGGAGGCGGTAATGCTTGTGTACCTGTGTGCTCAGATTTGGGTGCACGTTAAAGAACCCCAGGTAGTCGAAATTTCCGGAGCCCTCCACTATGGCGTCTCTCATAATCATATGGTGGTTTTGGGACGTCAAACACCACATATTGCCACCTGGTGTTCTGTGCCAGTGAGCAGTAGGTCAGTTCTGCGCCGGTGAACGAGGAAGACGAAGACGAGCAACCCGTGCCAGCGGAAACGTCCTTCTTTGTCTCTGGGATTTAGACAGTCGTGTCCCTTTGTACGTTCTTTCGAGCTCTTAGCGCGTGATAATATAAACCATCAAACTTTATTTATAGAACCCCATTATCGCTAATGAAGGCTAAGAGGTTGGCATCGCACTACATTTAGTACAAGACATTGACCTAGTTCCCGCAGTAATGATGAAATCAGCAGGCTGACCGGCATTGTTGGCAAGCGCACACCACCGTATACAAGACGATGCGGTTCGATAGCACGCTCCGCAAGCATCTGCGCATGCGCGAGACGCATGCCGGCGCGCAACTGCAGCGCTGGCCACGTCACGACGCCATGCGCCCCGAGATTTGCCCTGAGTGTGAAACAGACTGTACGTACATGAAAAATGACGTAAGCATCACAACAACAAATGGTAGCAGTCCTAGTGGACAGACACTATTTTTTTTAAAATTTATTGAGAGCTGTCAAGGCTTCCAACCTCGACAACCACTCAGGCACAGACTCCCGCGCTTTCTGAAGTTCAACAAGTGTCGACATTCACTCTCGAAAATACATTCTTGCGGGTCTTGCATCTGGATCACAGTGAAATCCTGGCATACGGACCCTCAATAAACAGTGGAGGCCTGTTAACATTATTTGGTCAAAGGGCGAGCCATCCACATTTACTATAGGGAGAAATATGATGCCGTGTGGTTCAAGCGGGAATTTCTTTTTGATTGACTTCTGCAATACATCCCAAAAATACACTCCGTCCCAGCAAAGTAAAAAAAAAAAACGTGATCAACAGTTTCTAACCCCCAAGGTATCAAGACACCCTAAGACAACTCGCTCTTTTAGAGATACCTTGACGTGCAAAGTACCTGCGTGAAAAAAAAAAGTATTCGCTATTTGTCTGTTAGATTTTCTAATGAGTACCTGTTTTCAGCGACGTGCGAAAAGCTGTTCAGATGCATGTGTGATGCAGCTTTATCTGTTCCAATGTAGAGAGCCGTGCAGAGTGGAGGTCAAGGACAGGACGCGCTAAAAACAGTTAAAAGAATGCCAGTGGCTCCTGCCACAAAGATCGACTGAGCTATTGGAGGCAGTTCTGGGCATTCTTCGAACGCGCCTTATATCTTTCACACATGCTCTCTCACTCCGTGCTCTCTGTTTGCGAAGCTAACCCCCCGTATTCTAAAACGTCCCTTCACTCAACGCTCCACCTTCACTTGAGAAAGCCGATGGGAGCGCCATCTTTAGGCAGAAAAAGTCACTGCAGATCAATGATAAATTGGTGCTTTTCTCGAGTAGCACAGCGTCGTTTTCAGCCGAGCAGCGGCGCAGTGCGCAACTCAGTCAAGTGAAGGGTGAAAGTCGAGTCGAGGAGCGTTCTAGAATACGTGGGTAATGTGAAGCGGGGCGGTGCCGCCGACTGTGAGTGCTCAAAAGAAGTGATGCGGCATGACGCAGTTAAATCATGGCGCCCGAAATTGCGCGCCGGAACGCAGTCTTGCTGGAGGCTATGGTTAAAGCTTCCGATATAGCAGGGAAAATCCCTGACCGAGCGAGCATCGGAGTCGCCGATGCAGTTATGTTCTTTGCTTTTCGCTGTTAGAGCGTGACAGCCCGTTGTAGAAGTCGTGCAGCTTCCTCGTGCGTCAACAATGTTTCTTCGCCGACTGTTTCGAGTGATGCATACAGCACTGGCATATTCAATAAAACTGCTGTAGCAGGCACTGTAGCAAGGCGACGATGTCAACGGCTGAATGACGTGCCTTGCTGGAGCAAAAACATGGTGTAAGATACAAGCAATCGTTAGTGTCTTACACCGCGAGCGAAACTGGGGCCAGGAGGACGGGGAACTGCGGCGCGCGTTGGCGGCTCAAGCTAAATCTCTGCGTCCTCTGCGCAGTGAACTTCTGCGCAGCGCAAGCGCCAGTTCAGGTTTCAAGAGTGCACACGGTTTCAAGAGTTCAGGTTCAGGTTTCAAGAGTTCAGGTTTCAAGAGTTCAGGTTTAGAGAGTTCAGGTTTCAAGAGTTCAGGTTTAGAGAGTTCAGGTTTAGAGAGTTCAGGTTTAGAGAGTTCAGGTTTAGAGAGTTCAGGTTTAGAGAGTTCAGGTTTCAAGAGTTCAGGTTTCAAGGTGCTGCTTAATCTCTCCATAAATGACGATTTTTGATGACGCGCATATCGCGTAGGGGGGTTTAATGTATGCTCCTTGATGTAATCGTTGTGCGCGATTGACGATACGCTTGTGTTCCGGTATATGTTAAAAAACGTTTTAACCAGGACGGTTAAATGACGATCATGGGTGGTAGTCATCGCGATAGAGACGTGGCGTCAACGCGGCTATGTCCACATCAAACGGTGCTATAGCTGCGAAACGACGATAGAAATTGTACAAGCTCTCAAATTTTCACTACACAATAAACACCACTTCTATGAAGACGCGTTTCATTTTTGTGTTATATCCAATTCCTATGACAAAGGAATCAGCATATTGTATAATATTGTATTTGTTTTTCTGTATGTTACCCGCTGGAATTTTTCGTACATTTTTGTCAATCTCCGTTACGTTGTGTATTCAGTGTACTTCCTACTATCTGGATAGGCTGTACTGTACTTGCCGCAAATTGAGCTTGTGTTCTGTCTCGTAATCATGTTATATTCCCCCCACTGTAATGCCTTATGGCGCTGTGGGTATCAAATAAACAAAACGTTTTTTTTTTCCTGTTTCATCCAAACATTCTAGGTGCAACAACAACGCCGTTATGGTTTTGACGAACGATCTTCGTTGCGCGGACAAGAAGTGCAACCAACCGCTGCCGAATAAAAATAGCACATTCTTGCGTTGCTCAATGTGCTGCAAGCTTACGTGTCGGGACTGCAATGCGCAGCACGAGGGCAAGAACTGCAAGGATTACAGAGCCACCTTAGCAGAACAGGATCAAGCAGGATGCCCCTGAAGCGAGCACTTGGGAAGAAATTGCTGGATCGAGTAGTGCCGATCACGTCTCTGACGACACGGTAAGTGTAGCGACAATGCTTCCCTAAGAGTCCAGCGAGTTTAATTGAGCTGACTAGGGTTGGCGCGTCCGGCCGCGTACAGCACCCGCTTTTCCCATCCGGAAAGCAGTATTTTAAGAATACCGTAACTATTTCTAAGCCGACTGAACGAGAAACACGGCACGTAAAACCCTAACTATTCCTAACAAAGTCTATAGCAAAATATTGGGGGACCCTTATACAAGCTTCGCCTTTGATTTGAGCGCGATAGCCATATCTTGTCATTAGTGCATGCTTCAGCTGAAATTGAGGACGACGCAGCGAGCAATGGAAAGCAAAATGGTAGGTGTAACCATAAGAGACAAAAAGAAAGCAGATTGGATTATGGAACAAACGGGGGTTAAGGATATCATAGTTGAAATCAAGAAGAAATGGACATGGGCCGGGCATGTAGCGCGTAGACAGGATAACCGCTAGTCATTAAGGGTAGCTAACTAGATTCCCAGAGAAGACAGCGGGTTAGGGGGAGACAGAAGGTTAGGTGGGCAGATGAGATTAAGAAGTTTGCGAATATAAATTGGCAGCAGCAAGCACAGGACCGAGTTGACTGGCGGGACATGGGAGAGACCTTTGTCCTGCAGTGCACGTAGTCAGGATGATGATGATGATGATGATGATGATGATGATGATGATGAAACGGCTTGTGTCAGGGAAGTTGTCGCAAATGGCTGCATAATGGGTAGCATGCTTTAAACCCATGATTTGTGAACGTGAAATATTTTCGAACTTGATATGCACCTTCTATACGTGGCCTTAAGAGAATAGGCGCAGTAACGTGTGTGCCTTTTGTAGTCCGTGACCGGCTTTAGACCATAAGTTGATTGATAATTGCATGTTCTGACGTCCGATGGTAATGTACGCTCGTATACCACGCATTATTACTGCGACATTACGCGTTTACAGGACACGCGTGCTTATAGCTTGAAAGTTACCTCACTGCATTTCCAAGCAGAGGAAGTTATTTTCAATGTATTTTTGAGAATACGCGTGGCCATACAATGTGAGGGTCACTGTATATTGTATTGTCCGGTAAAGACCTGATATTACGTGCGAAGAAAATGCGTATTTCACCAATAACAAAGACACTTTTTCAACAAGGTGCGTACAGAAACAGTACCTGTAAACGTCCTGGTTAAACACCAAAGGTATCTTTGTATCCAATTAATTGCCGCCTTTGTGAAGATCCAGAAACAATAGAACATTGCTTTATTAGTGGCAAGGACGCCATCCTCTTTTCGGATGTCCTGCAGAGGGCTTTTAAAAAAAACCTGGATTTGAACTGTCATAGCACCCGTTACCTTGTACAACACAAATTAAATGATATGCTAATTGACATAATCTTGTGAATGGGCATGCATTGTTCATAGAAAACTCGCATGCTTTACAGGCATGCGGAAAGAATGGTGTTTCCGCGACCCCCCTTTGTACAAATGACTGTGCGGCCTGGAAGACCTTTACGAACAACTGCAGTTTCATCCGGACTGGTATATGCCTGGTTCATTAAGTGTGCTGCTATTTTAGACACAGTGTTGTATAGAATTTGTTTTGTAACGCTCATTGTAAATTTGTCGACGCGGCCTTACGTATGTCGTGCGCTATGTAGGTACGTGAACCGCATTTGTATACCGTGTAAGAAAAAAAAAAAAAAGACGCGCGGCCATGTGGTAGAACACTCACTTGCCACGCAAGCCACCCGCGGATTCGACCCTCGCTCACACAAAATTTTTTATTCTTTATTACCTTATTTTATGCGTCGGTATCGGGGCCGACACCGACGCCGGAGTTTCTTCAAAACGAGCTCTCTAACGCTATCGCGTTAATACACGACGTAAAACATAAACCTTTCGCCTCGACAAAATGTTTGTTGCCAGCGCACCCAGACTCCGGTGTACGCTAACGAACCACTGATGGTTGAAATTTCCGGAGCCCTCCAATACGGCGCCCCATATAGTTTTATCGTAGTTTTGGGTCATAAAACGTAAAATTTTATTATAAATCGATGATTACTTTTTTCTTTAGTTTTGTAAATGATCCTACATCGCAAGAAAAAAAACGAGAAAAACGCAAAGCTGACGTCACAAGCGCAATAGCGCTAATAATGAGCGTCTGTCTTTTCCGCCCTGTCACCTCAGTAGCAAAATTTAAAAAAAAACTGAAAACGCAGCGAAATTTAAAGTCCTTTTTACACGCAAGTACACAACGCTGCATATTTTCTGCCGAATATACGTCTGATAAGGTCGCCTCATTAATCCGAGAAGCAACGTAAAGAAGATTACCAAAATGTTATGTTAGTAGACAACATACAATAACAAGGCTAACAGAATACTACTGAAGTACCGTGTCATCTTATACGAACATAATACTTGAGTGACCGCTGTATTACTCATACTGCACCGGTCTCATTGCACGTGCCATCCATTCGGTGCGCCCTCGTGCGTCGGTATACTGCATGCGCACGTTTCTCTTCGTCAGGTTGTCCCGGAGGAGTTCATACCTGGACAGCACTACGTCTGCGGTGTGGATGGCTGCTGCTTCGCGGTCGTCCTCCACGAAGGATCCAAGAAATTTTGGTGTGCCTTGTGTCACAGCAGACACAAAATCGTGGACAACAAGATTATAAGGGCCAAGGGACCGCCTATTTCTGTCACTATGTATAATCAAGTGTTAAGTGCTCGAGCTTTATGGAAGAAATAGAAGTAATTGCTTTAATAAAAAAAATTACGTCTGTTCTGCCGTCCGCACCTGATATTGTAACGGGAATATCTACGGACACTAAATACACTTTCTTCGAATTATTCAGTCAGTTGAATAAAGAAGGTGACCCTAAGTTTGAAGTTTCTATAGTTTTTTTTTTTTGTCTGACACAACCTTAATCGAAATCAGCAGATATTGAAGTTAAGGAAGGCACACTGGAGACTTAATTGTACTGTTTTGAGAGTGTTGCAGTAATTGTGAAAATAGACGTGAAATCAAAGAAAGCGAGATCCGAAGGTTGCAGGTCTGGTCCGCGCCGGCGACAGGTTGTCAAAGTGGACGATTGGGCCAGTTGGTGATACGTTATCGAAGTGTACTACGCTGTAGAAAACACGGACGGGAAAAGACAAGGACAAGCGCAGAATATCAACTGAAGATTTATCCATCCCGCATCTATCTATCTATCTATCTATCTATCTATCTATCTATCTATCTTCTATCTATCTATCTATCTATCTATCTATCTATCTATATCTATCTATCTATCTATCTATCTATCTGTCTATCTATCTATCTTCATCTATCTATCTATCTATCTATCTATCTATCTATCTATCTATCTATCTATCTATCTATCTATCTATCTATCTATCTATCTATCTATTATCTATTCTATCTATCTATCTATCTATCTATCTATCTATCTATCTATCTATCTATCTATCTATCTATCTATATCTATCTATCTACTATCTATCTTCTATCTATCCTATCTATCTATCTATCTATCTATCTATCTATCTACTATCTATCTATATCTATCGATCTATCTATCTATCTATCTATCTTCTGTCTGTCTGTCTGTCTGTCTGTCTGTCTGTCTGTCTGTCTGTCTGTCTGTCTGTCTGTCTGTCTGTCTGTCTGTCTGTCTGTCTGTCTGTCTGTCTGTCTGTCTATCTGTCTGTCTGTCTGTCTGTCTGTCTGTCTGTCTGTCTGTCTGTCTGTCTAACAACCAGGAAAAAAAGAGTCTGTGTTTTCTACCACGTAGTACACTTACATTTGGTAGGTTGTCTTTTCATCCTCGCTACTTTATTTGCATCTATACCACAACCACTGCAATACACTTAAAATAGCACAACCAACGTCCCCTGTGCAATGATTAGTTTCACTATCTGCTGATTTTGATAAAGTAACTTTCTAGGGACAACTCGCTACATTGAAGAAGTGCACTCGCTTTTCCAGTATTTAGAGTCGCAGTAATTTTGAGAGAAGTACCGAAACAAGGTTGCGAACGTGAATTAGCATATGGGTGATTGAGACTGTGGAGACAAATTCGAAGTACAAGATTTGTTTCCATGACACTGCTGTGGGACATCACGGACTCCGCGGCACAGTCATTAATGTGGGGGTTCCAAAATCCTTCCTTTAGGTGTACCTGAGTATTATATAGCTAAAACAAAACAAATAGGAACCCGTTGATAAGTGTTGTGGGTATTTTACCCTCCTCTCTCACTCCTCACCCATTTATACTCTTAAAAAAAATGGCAGATCCCACATAGAGTGGGAATCGATGATATGCGAAGCACGAATGAGTAAGGTTGATATGTCACTTTAATATCAGAACAACGGTAGCAAGCCATACATGACACGCATGAAGTGATTCGCATGTCATGACCTGTAAATCATGTTCGCAATACAGTGACGTCACTCGATGCCTACTAAGGTGTACATCAAGCTAGAGTACCGGCTGCAAGCGCACCATGAGTGTGCCATGTAAATTATGCCGTACATGTCTTTCATGTCATGCTTATCATGTTTGTGCCAGGCATTTTTATTCATCGTTCATTACGTCAGGTAACACAAAATTCGGTATATGTGAAGCTAGCAATACGGCCGCGAGCGCACTATGAGTGTAGCCTGTAGTCACGTTTTTCATGACACGCATGTCATGATTATGACCCCGCCACGGTGGTCTAGTGGCTAACGTACTCGGCTGCTGACCCGCAAGTGGCGGGATCGAATCCCGGCTGCGGCAGCTGCATTTCCGATGGAGGCGGTAATGTTGTATAGGCTCCTATGCTCAGATTTTGGTGCACGTTAAAGAACCCCAGGTGGTCGAAATTTCCGGAGCCCTCCACTACAGCGTCTCTCATAATCATATGGTGGTTTTGAGACGTTAAACCTGACATATCATGACATGATTATGATGTTAGACGTGTCATTTATCTTCGCAGTCCATTCACGTCACGCAATGCAAAATTTGGTATATGTGAAGGTAGAGGAACGGTCGCGAGTGCATCATGACCGTGGTATGCAGTCATGTTCTGACATGACACGCATGTCATGATTATCGCGTTTGCGCCATTCATATACCTTCGTCATCTAGTCACGTCAGGTAACACCAAATTCGGTATATGTGAAGCTAGCGAAACGGCCGCGAGGCGCACTATGAGTGTAGCATATAGTCATGTTCAACACGACACGCATGTCACGATTATGGTGTTTAGACGTGCCATTTATCTTCATTGTCCATTCACGCCAAGTAATACCAAATTTTTTACATGTGAAGCTAGCGAAACAGCCGCGAGCGCATTATGATCGTGGTATGTAGTGATGCTTTGACTTTGGCCTCTCTAGAGTATATATCGAAGCACAGCTCTTACGTAATGCAGCCGGTGGCGAATTCCAAGACCTCACTATAGAGTGCTCGGTACTGACGCCCATGTAACGCGATAAGAAGATAACTGTCACACGTGCGGTAGACTAAACATCCGCCCTCCCGCTCGACCGATTCGCGCTTCTGTGAAACGGCACGTGACCCTCGAATTCTCGTTCCTCGGGTTACCGCTGTGTAAGCAGGTTATAGCTAGTCAAATACGACTATAACGGGGCCTCCGTGCTGTCTGGTTGGGAATCCTCGCGACTGGGTATGCGTAAGTATATATCGCGCCATTTCGAGTCGCACAAAGCGCTACCGTTCATGGTGTGTCACGCGGAGGAAAGCGATGTCTGCTTGATCGCCGTCCTCTAGAAGAACTGGGCCATGACGCACGCAAACGAGGCGTCTCCTTGAGGGCGCTGGATGCTCGCGAAGGAAGCATCGCCTCACGATTTGCGTTCGCATTCGCAGCCCAGCAGCGGGACGGCGTTGCCTATGGCCAAAAGTTCGCGCTTGAAGCAGCTTCTCCTCATCGGCTCTTTCGAGTTGGCCCGGCAGCGAGCTCTGTAATGTGCTTACTGCAAGCCCCACCGCGGTGGTCTAGTGGCTAAGGTACTCGGCTGCTGACCCGCATGTCGCGGGATCGAATCCCAGCTGCGGCGGCTGCATTTCCGATGGAGGCGGAAATGTTGTAGGCCCGTGTGCTCATGCAGATTTGGGTGCACGTTAAAGAACCCCAGGTGGTCGAAATTTCCGGAGCCCTCCACTACGGTGTCTCTTATAATCATATTGTGGGTTTGGGACGTTAAACCACGCGAATCAATCAATCAATCAATCAATCAATCAATCAATCAATCAATCAATGTGCTTACTGCAAATATAGTGCTCTTACTCTTATACATTGCATCATACGAGCTTAACTCTGTTTTACACGTGGATTGCTGTACAGCTTTTGTTATACTGTCGGCATCGAATGAAACAAGAACAGCGGCAAGCATTAGCAATAGTATAGTGAGCGCCATCCAGTCCTCCGATGTGAAGATGCGCAGCGCTGCCAAACAGCAGTTTGCCGATCATGCCAATGGTGATGACTGGACGGCGCGCACTGTAATATTTCTAATGCATGCCGCTGTTCGCGTTTCATTTGACGCAGACAGTGCACATAATAGTGCCTTTGTTACAGTTTGTTCCTCTAGGTTATGTAGCAAAACGTGAAAGAGTAAGCGCTAAAGCTTACTCGTTCATCGCGCCGAGCATGCGATTGCGGTCCTACAGCCAGCGACTTTGTAGCGACGAATCAATCCACATCAATCCAACAAGCTTACGCTGTTCCTCATAGTGAGCTCTCTAAATTTCATGGGGAGAAACAAACTTCATAAATTTATTCAGTGCTTCTTTAAGACCACGCATAAACTTATTTCATAACATTAAAAAATAAACATCTTTCACTCACTCACACACTCACTCACTCACACTTTTATACGCTCGTAGAGATTTGTTCTATACATGTTAGGCCGCTCGTTTAGACATCCACTTCGCGCAAAGAACAAAAACGGCCGGTTCCGCCTCTTCCCCTCCTTTCATCACGCTCGCAATTCGTTCACAACGTAAACCATGCGGGAAAGACGAGGTCAACTTAGAAAACACTACTACATCAGTGCAGCTCAGGAAAGGGAAAAGCGAAAAGGGTCAAACTTAGGGCGCGCGTGACACGCAAGCCGTCCTTTCCTCTTCGCAGGCCGGCTACGCAGAACAGTCGGCCGCAGCAGCTCCGTTTCAAGTGTGCCGCCAAGCCGACAGGGGCGGCATTAATGAGCCGCGAGTGGCGTCGTCCTTCTTACTCTGCCGGCAATGAACGTCGGCCATTCAGGCGACAATCCCCAGACGTTCTCCCGGCCTGCAGGAGGCTCGGAAGAGTCCTGTTCGTCCGACCCTAATTAGGGGCCATCCTCCTTCCTGGTCGAGGACGCTCCTGCAGCCAAGAGCACAGGGCCGAACCCTTCTTACGGCCCCGCCGTTGCCTCCGTCACAGCTTCGTAACTATGCAATACGTAGAGCACCGCAGTGGCTGCCGGATTCCAGGAGGCGATACGGCCGATGCAGCATCGAGGCTACCTGGACCGTTCATTTGCGCCACTTGGTTGAAATCTACACTACGGCTACTTGCGGGCACAGTGTATTACCATGCTTCTATAAGCATTTCTCCATAACTGATTCGGGATAACACAGGCTGAATACGAGGTTATGCGTACCTGGTCTCAGACTTGTTTTGTTTGTCGTAGCGTTCTCGGAAACGTGAATGGGGCATTCGATATATCTCGTCTCGTTGCTACACAGTCAGATAAGCGGACAGAAGTTAGCCTGGTCGCTATAGTTTGCGTGTCACCTTGCCTTCTAGCCATACAACCAGCGATTTAAGACTGAACACTCTTATTGCGTTCACCTAGCTCACCTTTTTTTTTAATCCGACCTTACATAAACTTGGAGTCGAGCCTAATACCCGACAAGACCTCTATCCCGTGACATTTTCTACATCTGCTTAAAGAGCAGCTGGCACGCATGGTGGTGATGGACGTTTTTCGACTTCGATTTCGGCTGCATATCGTTTCAGAAAACCCGTCAAATCTACAATGATTCCTAGTGTCTATACGCACTGGCTTGCCACGCTTGTATTGGAGGCCGCACGCGGCTTGTGTGAGCATAAGTACCGCTAGATGACAGCAGGGGCCGCGAGAGAGGAGGAGCCCGGCTGCAGTACAGTGCACGGATGATCCAGAGCCATCTGTGAAGCCGCGCCAACCCCGCAACATTCCGGGGTTGCGCAACTATAAGAGCCACACCTCGCCCAGCGAATAGCACGAAAGTCTGTAAGAGGCCTCGTGGTAAACGCCTCAGCGGTTATTCAGCGGTGGCAGCACATGGTGTGCCGTCACATTATTTTACCACTAGTCGCACTGACGTCAACATTCATCACCTGCTTATCGTTGCTCAGGCACGCACATTTAAACATTTTCCTGTCATACGGGGTGAAACTGAGTTGTCAGTTCTTGATTACTTTCCGAGAAAGAGCACTTATGCATGAGCTCTCATAAGGCTATGTTTCCAAGATTCACAAGAGAGAGAGAGAGAGAAGCAATTTTACTGATAATCATACGCGTTGTCTGATTCATTCCTGCAAATAAAGTGGAAACTTGCCAGCGGTTTCTGCCCTGGCGTAACTGGGGCAGAAACTCCTGGTAAGTTTCCACCTGGTAAAGATTTGTACACATAGACGCACACATAGAAACAAGAATCCCCTGGTATATCTGTGCATTCAAAGACGCGCACATACAAACGCACGCCCAAACATGCCCCCCTCCTAAAAAACAAACAACAAACAAACAGACAAAGCAAAACTTCTCTCTACACCCCTGCGTTTAGATCAGTAAATAGCAAAATTGGCAGAAAGGCAACTATGTTAAGGACGTCGTGCAATACCGTTGGAGCCCCTGCGAAAGTTATAGCGCAGATCACACAGCTCTCGTTAGAGGGTCTGTATTGTGGTAGGACTGTGTTCTTACGTGTCGAAAAAAAAAAGTGGTATATAACAGCGGCGCAGATCAGGGCCAAACAGTTGTTCACCGGTGACACTGGCGCGGACTCGACACTTGTCCTCGATGCGGAAGGCAGGCCAGGACAGGGCCTGTCACTGGGTTCCGCTTCTCCTCGCGCCTCGAAATGAGGAACGGCGCAGCAGCTGCCGCATAGTGGTTGGCCTCCTAACCACGGCAAACTTCAGTGGAGACGGTGCGCTTGGATCGCTTCCAAAGCAGCGCGCCGAAGCGAAGCGGGGCTCGCTATATGCTAGACCCGCGCGTTTCCCCTCTGCTGACAGGTTGCCAAGCCCATCTGTCAACGAATCAATCGCCCAGACGCTTGGGAAATGCTGTGCCGCCACGGCACACATGCAGCAAGCGCACGACGGAGATTCGGCACAAACTGATATCATCGCTGCTCGCTTACAGTGTCGCAATCGTTTCACTTCTAATCAACTTTAACCGCGTACTCGTGTTGTGACAGGGTCGTCGTACGTCTATTCTGGGTTGGACGAGTGAAGGCGGAATGTGGCGGTGCATTGTTTCCCAAGATCTGCCGGAAGCACGTGCCCTGTGAAGCAACCACTGAAATATTTAACACTGAGTCGAAAAACAAAGGACGACGAAAAATTGAAAGCGTTTGAAACACTGACTACAGAACAAACAAGCATTTACGCTCCTATGGCGCGGACTACGGACAGATCTGTAAGTTGGACGGTCATCGATTTTCAGTTTGACCTAATACATTCATCCAGTACAAGGGTCACTTAATGGAAACTTGACCTCCTTGAAAGCATGGCCACCCCAAAGTCAGAGGCCAAGTGTTGCTATTCTATATCACATGCTAGGATGAAATACCACACGGGGTTGTATGGGAACTGGGTTACGCTTTTTGACAATACAGGACTATGGTGTACAGAACGAAGTTGAGCAGGTGAAACCCGCCACTCCGAAACTGAAGAAAAAGGCTCAATGGCCGGCGGGAGCAGAGAAAGGTGGCACGAAGTACCAGAAAGCTATGAAAACGAGCCATTATGGTATTCACTATAGCCCGCTCCATAAACGATTGCCTCCGAATGCACGTAATGAACTCTGCTCACTGTGGTATGAACAACGTTCAAAATCACGTGGAGAGAAAGCATTCTTCAAGGCCGAAAGCTCTATTATTTCAACACGACGCAGCCGGGGCTCAGCAGCGCTCGTGATCCTAATATCCTTCAGTTATTCTTATAAATATTGCACATAATATAAATATCCCAAGCTTTTCGTACAAGACGCAATCGTGTAACAAGATGCTATTGTTTACCAACTTTACAGATGGTAGCTTCTCACGGTTTCGACCCCATTTTCTAACGCATGTGATCCATTCCTACTGAATGAGAACAGCCTAGTGAAGATGGGCATGTCCATGTAGCGTGGTCGTTGCCATACGCGTGCGTTAAAATGAGACGTGCCAGCGATAGTAGCTACCAGCAATGGTTGCAGCTTCCGACCAGGAGCGCTGATCTGGACATTCACAAGTACAGCGCCCTTCACAAACGCGCCGGGGAATCCGCGCACCCGCCTTCAGCCCGGTGCGTCGTTAAATCACTTCGGGTGCCACACACATGACCTCTCGCATAGCATCGACGCGTTCCGATGAAAGTGTGGAGGCCGAAGAATTGTGAAAGGAGGAAGAGTGTAAAAGAGGAGGAGAAGCGCGGGCTTAAAGTGGAAAAGGGGGCCGATGGTAGCGCGTACACAGAAGCGGGCCGCGCGGTGACCAAACGGCGTGCCTCGTTCTCTGAGCAGGAGGAGCTGCTTGTGCAGCCGCGGCCGGGCGGAGCAGTGACTGATAAGCGGTCCGGCCGCACGGTGTCCACCACCTCAGCGACCAGCAAAAGGGCCGCCGCGGCATCGCGGAAAGACAGCGGCCTCCCCTCCTTCTTTACCACCCTCGGCCGAGACCCTCGCCCCGCGCTGCGTACGACTCCTCCGACTCTTCCCAGCGCTGCGCTCCGCAAGTCCGTCGCTGGGCGCTACTCGAAGAGCCGTCGCCGGAGGAGGATGATCTGCTCCGGCCCCGAGACCAGCCGTCGGCGGCACGTGGTCAGCCTCGCGAGAAGGTCCACGTCGTCGTCGTCTCATGCCTTGTCTCTGCTGGCGTGGTCCTGCTGGTACCTGCTTGTCTGCGCCGCTCCGTACGGCTCGGAAGCCGCGAGGGAGCAGCAGGCCAGTTCGACCGCCGAAGTGGAGGCGGTGTCAGACTCCGGTCCGTTCCAGAGGATGAGCCGGTGAGTCGCCGTCGGATCGAAAGTCTCGCGGAGCACATCTGGGCGACGGTGCTGAATCGGAACCCAGTTGCTAATGTCCGGCTCAGGTACAGGACCACCACCGGTGGTACATTGGTTTTGTTTCTGGTATAGTTACGCTCATAGACGTCACGGATTAGCTGCCAGCGGGGACATTCGCATTCCTATTGAGGCGAAATGTGAACGGCTTCTGTACTATGCGACGTCAGCGCACGTCAAAGAACACCACGAAGATGGTCGAATTTCCAGGGCCCGCCCGTACAACGTGCCTTATAATCATATCATGGTCACAGATTCGATGTCGGCCGCGGCATTCGCATTCCGATTGAGGCGAAATGTGAACGGCTTCTGTACTATGCGACGTCAGCGCACGTCAAAGAACACCATGAAGATGGTCGAATTTCCAGGGCCCGCCCGTACAACGTGCCTTATAATCATATCATGGTTTTGACGCATAAAACCCCGAACATTATTACTGCTCAGGTCATGCTGCATGTAGAGTTGGTAACAAACGTTTCATAGCGCTGAAAGCAAGGTCATTGCAAATGAAATTGCATCCTCTTGGTACACGATTACAATTTCTTTGATGGAGCAGGGGCGTAGGCACAACTTCTTTTTTTGCGGGGGGGGGGGGGGGGGGGGGGTTGTTGAAATGGTCATTTTTCACTTTGTAAGCTATGGCGAAAAAAAAAGTCAGTGGGGGGGGGGGGGGGGGGGGAGGAGCACAGGCTCGGCGTGCCAGCCCCCTGGCTTCACTTTAGTGGATCAATCATCACGTTGCCCAGTGTGTAACAGGAAAGGAAAGACATCTCGCTGACTTTTGCTTCCTTCTTCCTTTTCTTACATATCTCACACGTTTCATGATTTTACTTTCAGCGCAGAGATTTCTATACCATCACTATGGTGTGACGATTATTAAAAAAGAAAGAATTTGTTGTTCTACTTCGCAGTTGTAAACAGAATAGAGCATACGGAAAGAGAACATAGCGAAACGAGACCACGAAGAGTACAAGAATCGCACCGATTCAATAGAGTGACATTTATGTTCGGTAATATCATGGAATTAATTCTTTATTGTTTGAAATGAAACAGCTAGTCGCTGAAATAATGATGTGCGTAAATATTAGTATTGCAGCAATAAAGGTTTTCCAAGCAGCAAACAAAGAGTACTGTTGGCCCCTTCGTGAGCTTGGCAATATTTCAACTTCTCAAACATCGACACCGATTGAATGCTCACACACACACGCACGCCTATATCATACGAACCTTGGCGTGGACACGTAATCCCACCCACACAACACACATAAAGCAAAGTGATTTGCTTTGAGGTTTCAACGTGACGCGCACTACCGCCATCTAATGCTCTCGCCTGGACAAGGAACTCCTCTAAGATAACAGAAAAGTTTCCAAGGTTTTCTTCTATTTTGCGCTATCTCCTTATTTAACCTTTACACTGCGAAAAAAAGCTTGTATTTCCGGCATTTTCCCTCTAGAGAGCGAGGTTAGAATCTTCCACCTCCATTCAAAGTCCTCGTGGCGATCTTATCTCGGAGTTTTCACTTACGTTCGCTCTCGGGCGATAATGATTTTCTTGTATCCGAGTTACCTTAGGAAGAAAAAAATAATAACACTCTCGTGTATTCTTCTGGTGTGACCCGAAAACTTCCAGTTGCGGAGAAAGCAAGCACGGAATAAGAGCCGTGGCGTCCGCGTTCATAAGAGTGCGCAAGGAAGAGGGAAGGGGGGGGGGGCATTCGTAGCAGCTCCCTCCTTCCTATTACATGTTGTATGGCGCTGACTTTGCCCGCCACCCCGAGTCACAGCATCCCCCTCCCTGTTATGTCACTGTATGGGGCTGCCCCCTGCCCCGCCCCCTTCCACCATGCACACGCCTATGTCCGTGTCTTATACGTATACCTTCACGAATGATGTATACGTCATCGACTCCCACAAACTAGAACACTATTTTTCACACTTTGTTTTAGAATAAATGTTTTGTCATCCTCCTTCCATGTAGCGAGAATTCCAAATGACGTGGATGACGGTTGCCGAGATGTCGGTGCTTTACCTTCTCACGACACTATAGCGTCAGAACGTGTGCGTCTTCTGCGATGAGAAAAAGGAAAAGGCGTTGAGAGCGGCGAAAATCGAGTGCATGTTCTCCGATGTAGGTTTTATGGGTGTGGACGTGCATTCTATTTATACTGTGCTGCCATTTTACTGCTTTTTTTTCATACTGCTGTTGCAGAAGCCACGCAACTGCAGCTTTTAGCTACATCTCATGAGGCACTTTTCTGGCAAACCTGCGTTGATTAAGAAAGAAAGAAAGAAAGAAAGAAAGAAAAAAAGAAAGAAAGGAAGGAAGAAAGAAAGAAAGAACGAGTTAAGCAGACGCTCATACAGTTTTTTACCCTGAACTTGGTGAACGAATGTAGCGGTGAAAAGATAGGCAGAGTAAACGAGAGATCTTCCACGCACACTTGCAAATGTACAGGGGTTCTGAAAAGTTTCTACGCTGCTATCTCGCGTAATAACATGGCAGCGTGGCCCTGGAAACTTTGGAACATCCCTATGCATAAAATCCCAACGCGGTGTGCAGATAACTGTCGATTTTAGCTACGCTATAGCAACGCCGGCGCCGTTTTCTGCGTCATGAACGCACATGGCCATGGTCCGGAGATCTAGGCAGCTCAAAACAGTCTCTTGTCCAATCGGTTTCGTAGAATACGGGCGGGTATTGCTGGGTATAACAATGAGAGCAAACTCGCAGGACAAAAACATAGAATGAAACCACCACAAGATACCACGGACATCCTTCTGCCATCATATGTCTCAGTTTTGTTACTTCTGAGCCACCAAAATATCTGACAAGCAACCGAACGAGTTGTCTAAAGCGGGATAAGAAGAAAAAAATATTATACATAAGTTGGTATCCGCTATCAAGAGCCCCGGTGTCGGGGATCAACTGTGGGATGTCCAGAGGGCCCACGATGCGGTGGTCTGGCTTGGCCTGACTGTCCCAACGTGGGAGCCACCCGCTGTGTGTTGAGTCGTGCACCTCAGAACTTACAATAAAGCTTCGCATCAATCCACGAATGAACAAGAAGGACGATCTTTACTGATCTGAGTGACTAAACACTCACGTGTTTTATGCAGTCCCAAAGAGGTGCAAAGGCATTCTGGTTCCCTGCGCACTCTGTAAATGTTCGATACCAGTAGCGACTAGAGTCTCTGGTCCAGAAACGGAACCTAGGAACTTGATTTCAGTTAGTCACATTCAAGAAGCACACATATTACGAAAGCCAAGGCATGCAGCCAAGAACTTTATTAAGTGTCCAGCTAGAAATTACTGGCCCGGGCTAAGGCTGTCAGAGGCCGTCCTCCGAGGATCATCGTGCGAGGTGACGATTCCGGCTCACTGGACAGCCCCTAGCTGGTCGAATGGATGTATATAGGTTGACAGGAGCGGCTCGTCACCGGTCAGCCAGTCGTCCTGGAGTTCAACCTCTCTCGTCCGCGTTGTGATGGTTACTACCACATTCGCAGTCCTAAAGTGCGTGATCCATGTCGGCTGTAACGTGCCTACACCCCAGACAGCCTAAAGCCCCTATATTTTGTAAGACAGCCGGGCGACAGGAGGAGCGAGGGGCAGAGTCAGTGCAGGTGGCTGGAATTTTCGAAAGTATATGCATTTCCAGACACCTCAGGTCAGACGCCTGAGGCCAGTCAAGCTGCTTGTGAGGTGGTGTGTAAAGTTGTCTCCTTTTCTGTAATGAATGGGCGATTCGCGGTACGTGACCACTGCCTCAATTCTTGCCGTCTTGTATGATAGTATCGGTGTCTGTCACCGTCGCGGAGGTGTTCTGTCCCGCGCTCTTGAGTACCTCGCCGTCGTCGTGTTCCTGCACATCGGCGGGCTGTTTGTCCACGTCGAGGCAGTGCAGCAGTCAACAAAGATAATTCAATTAAATACGCACAAACGGTGACGTAAACGGAGAAAGCAAAGACTTTCCACGAGGAAGAAAGTCCGTCTTCACATTGCGCATCTTGTTTCTACCGACTGAGCATCCGCAAAGACGTTTTCCCGGCCAAGCTTCTTGTTTATTCATGCATGTAGATCTATCCTTTGTGTGTTTGCCAACGCCATTATTCACAACCACGGAGGTGGACATAAAATGTCCGCGAGGATGGAAAGGGCGCAGCCCCCTTCCACCCCCTATCGCCTCTTCTTCTAACTGGACCCTGAATATAAGAATATCAGTGGGAAGGGTTTGCAATGCGGGAGGAACTTCGCTTGTTTCCCTTTCCCTCATTGCCCTGCAAAACCCTGTGCCGGCCGATGCACCCAGCGTTAGGTTGTCCAAATTTGCATGAATATGTGACCGGTAATATAGGCAATCGCAGGGAACTGTGGGATACGACGGCTTCAGGTTCGACGCACCACGCACTTTTGTACCGCTCCGTTGAAAAAAATAAAGCACCCCTCCGTGCGATGTCAGTGCTTTAGAAGTTGTTGTTTTTTTTTTGTTTCTGCCAACCGTGACTTGACGATGACAAGCTACGAAAGCCATGAACGATAAGGAAACTTTTTTTATCGTACCAAAACGATCTGCAATGCTTTTATGCTGTCAGTTTGGCTATTAGATCAGTCAATACAGAAGATAGTTTTTATTGTATGATACGTTACTGAAAATAAAAAAAATCACCATTTTAAAGATCGCAGGGGATGGGGATGACTGTATCAGTGTGCTAAGAGTTCATTTCGGAATCGCTGCTTCGGCCGACATCGTCGGTCGATCGGCATGAAGCGCAGCACTTGTTGAGTGCGTTCAGATATCTTTTTTTTTAGCTTTCAGCGCGCTATAAGATGCATTTCTTTGTCGAAGCCAGATGCTTATTCGAACGCTGATCTTTGTCAAGCTGTGCATGAACAATACAGTCAGACATAGACGGCGCTGAGGAATCGAAACGCTGTGCTTGTT